CTCAACGGGCATGATGGAGCACACACGGGGATCAAACCCTAGCACTAAGGGATTACCTAATTAATCTCCTTCTTAGCAGCTCCAATTTAGTATGTCACCGAGCTTGGTACTACTAGAAATGCCTACACATAGGACATTTCCATTTCAATTTTCATTCACCAACGCAAATACATGATTATAAAGGAATTCATGCACGTATTCATAATCACTTACCAAAATCCCTTTGGTCAAGGACCAAAGGCAACCCACCAAGCTCAAGGCTCGAAGTTCAATTCCGTGGGAGGAAACCTACAGTGATCACACGAGGATCATCAATACACGGTGCAATTTACCAACATTACAAAGCACCAAATTCCCACTTCCCCACATGCATAGGTTCGGCCTCTTTAGGCCAAATTTACCAAATAATTTTCTTAATTTTATTTTAATTTACCATAAATATTTTAAGGTTACCACAATTCCATTTCAAGTCTCATTTCCATCCAACCCCATCACAACACCATTTTTCCAATTATGCTCTTTTAGGCCAATTCCTACTCTTATACCCATCTAATGGTTCCACCCCCAAATCTCATGCATCCAACCAACATCCAACTCATATAAATACCATACACAACTACACAACATCAATAACACAATTTTTGCATCATCAAACCCTCTATGCCCTCTTTAGGCCGAATTGTTCATGCTCACTAACCAAAGAGTATTCAATTCAATTTCACACTTCCACACACCATACAATCTTATAATTAACCATACAAACACTCCACAACTCAATTACACAATCATACAACATATCAATTTCATAAAGTCATGAAATCCTAACTCAAAATTTCCTAAGTTATGAACCAATTTCCTCAATAATTTTTATGACTTCAGTCCCTCTAAAACATCATTCTAAGCCATTTTTATCTAATACACAATTTCAATTTGAGCTCTCTAACTACATCAATTCATACAACCCAACCCTAGGTCACCAAAATTAAAATTTATGATTCAACCAATCAAAAGTGTTAAAACTTACCCACAAGTTTGGCCTAAGACTCCTCCAAGTGATACCAAATCAAAAGCTTGAACACAAAGCTCAAGAACTCCAAATCCTCCACCAAAGTCGCGGTTGTATATGGAGATTTTCTCCCAACCTAGCGAGTTTCAAGGCTCAAGGCTACCATGGTTGTGTTTGGATGCTGATTTCCTTCAACTTTGGTGACAAACTTTGTTAGATTTGAGTGAGTATTGAGAGGATGAAGTTTTGGAAGAAAACTTGGTCTTCCATGGAAGAGGGCGCAGGTTCTTGGGTGGGAAGGAGAGAGAGAAGGCTGATTTCTTGTGTGGTCCAAGGTGGTAAGTCCACTTAAGTGAGGTGGGCCCCACCGCCACCTCACGCGATTTCAAACTAATTCAAATCTTCCGCCTATTCCGCTAAACATCCATAATTTCATAAACTATTTAGAAACTCTAATTTTTAACATTAACCATTGTCCTTTAATTTCCCTTGATCAGATGAATCCAGAGTTTTCCAGTCGTTCGGAGAAATCGCAGTTTTAAGCTGTTATGCGCGTTGTGGCACGTTTCCCCAAACACACTAATTTCCATCAATTTTCATCAGAAATCATATTTCCTAGTCCTATGTACCATTTATAACTTATATTCAAACCTAGAGCTCAAAATTCAATTCGGCACGTTTTACGGTGCAACTGTACCGCAATATTTTTACCCGGTAAAAACACTATTCACCAAATTTTCAGAAACTTGCCTAACCACTTAATTTTTCGTTCTGAATCCATTTTCAGGATTAGTTTTCCCATTTGAGACCTCCTACTCAATTTTACTTTCTTAGGGTTACGTGTTTGGCTAATTACCGTTTTACCCTTCCTTTGTATTTTAACCCTATTTCAGGATTTTCACTAATCCTACCCTTTAATCCACATTTAATATATAAATATATGTTTTAGAAATGCGAGGTGTTATACTGCCATTTTTGGATCTATGTGTGTGTGTTAAGTAAAGTGTGCATTTTACTCACCTTTTGGTCGTTTTGCTCAAAATGGTGAGTTTTGACTTCTTTTATATACATATCTATGATGTGTTTGCCATTCGCTTGTTACATTCATGATTTGTATATCTCTTGAAAATCATCTCTAAACTTCCCATTATTTGCGACATAGGGTTTCCTTCCTTTTTTCTTCTTGTGAATCTCTTAGTTTTTCTCCTCCGTTATATCTGGATGTTTTGTAGAGAAGTTTGAGTTTGAAAAAATCTGTTCGTGTGAGGTTTCAAAGGTTGGGTTCAAGACTTGAGTCTTGGAGGCTTCAATGCAATGTATCTTGTATTTCTTAGTGTGGTATTGCGTGATTACGACTATTAACTTGAGATCCTATTTTTGCTTCATATACACACGCGTATGTAATCTCTCTCTCTTATTATTCTATTTAACTTGTTAATCAACTGTGTAGTTGCAACAATGACAATATTAACTAATTATGTTAATACATAATTTAATAATAATATTTAATATAAAAATATTTCTCTAATGAATTTAAGTAAATAACAAAATAAATAGCCTTATTTAAAGGGTAAACTCAACTTTTTTGCAAAGTTTATTCATGATAGCATAATCATCTTTTAAAAAAAAATTCAAATTATAAATATGTACATTGATTGTTTTTATTAGAAGAATTTTTTTTTTCTATTTCAACCTGGTTGTCTGATTAAGTATTCTAGAGTGATCCATGTAAATCTAATGGCAAATATTTTGGTAGAAGACGAAAATTTTCCTTTCCAAAAATATTTAAGAATTTTTCTTATTATTTTCTTTCTCTTATTGTATAAAAAAGACTTATCCTATAAGAACTACAATAATTACTTCAATTTTTTTATCAAATGTATAAGAGTTAAAATTTCTCTCTTGTACTTTAGTCGAGTGATTTTTCAATCAATTTATACGTATTTTAATAATATATCTCTTTAGTCTAGTAAAAAAATTTGCTATCCCTATCGAATTAAGATATTCTAAAAAATATTCCTTATGACTTATTTTTTAAAAATTGATATAGTTGAAAGAAATATTTACTCACATATTAGATTTTTACCACCTTAACTCAACTTTTTATAATTTTTCTCTCCTATATTCTTCGTTAAAGTTGTAAAAATGGACTTGTCTATCTCATTAGGCCCTAGCCTATATGGGTTAAGACCAAAAATCCATAGGACTAAAAGATATGTAATAACCCGTCCGTCTCATTTTCCTTTACAGGATATAACATTATCACGTGTGAAAGAGAAATGTTAATCTCTTTTAATAAATGAAAAATTTTAGTTTGTGGATGAACTCCAACCTAGCCCGTTAAAACATAGAGCTTTGGGGTTAAGGTTAGGAAAAAACTATATTACAATATAGGCTTTTGTGAGTTAGGATCAAATATAGAGCTCTAAGATTGACCCGTGGGCCATAACCTTTTTATAGCTCTAATCTTTGTATTGTTATAGATACCAATTAATTTTTAACTATAAGATCTCATCCCTTTAAAATATTTTTATACTAAATTAAATGAAAAAGTTATTTAAATATTAGACATTAAATTCAAAACCACATCCTTAACTACTTTTTTTTTTGTTGGGTAAACACATCCTTAACTACTTCAAAAGTAAATTGCAAGGAATCCGATTCTATCATTGCAAATTGTAAACAGTGTTATTAAACCCGATCCGGGCGAGGTACTGGGTCACTGAATTACTGGTTGGATCGGTGGGTCACTGGTCGGACCGGTTGACCTGGATATATATATATATATATATTATATATATATATATATATATATATATATATATTATATGAACCTATAAATTCAATTATATTCTCCATATCTAAAGTGAATTAAACAAGGTTCACTAAATATGCTAAAAAAATGAAGCATATTACTATGTCAATTTAATTGCAACTCAGAATCTCCATAAACATACTTCTCAATAAACATTGAACTTATTTTTTTCAATTCAATTACATTAAAATGACATATGTCACATTCTCTTAATTTATTATTCAACAAATTACTTCAGTATTGGAAGCTGAAATTTGAGGTCATTGTAGAAGAGTATACTAGCAAATAAAATTACAAAAAGTTTTTAAAATGAGTTCTACATTTTTCTCACAAAATGAAACAATTTTTGATTTTTGATTTTTTTTTAAAATGCATGACCCGACTGGGTCACTAATTTTGATCGGGTTTGGCCGGTTCTGTCCGGGTTTTGACCGAGTTTGACCGGGTCAATGCATGACTGGTCCAATACTTTACCCAAACCGGTCTGATGACCGTTTTATCGGGTCCCGGGTCAATCCGGCCGAGTCTGGCTGAGTTTTACAACACTGATTGTAAACACATTTGGTTAGAAATAAAATAAAATACTAATGTTGTCATTTAGAATTTTCCATTATAAAATTGGATAGTTAATATTTAATTGTATAATAAGATTTATTTATTTATTTTTAAATTTATTTACTCATTTATCGATTAATTAATTAATATTATAGAGTCAGATTTTTCTATCAAATTTTTAATACAATTGAGATTACTTTATCAATATGATATATTTTTAAAAAAATTATTGAAGTGTTTACCGAAAAAAAATTATTGAAATAATATAATTAAAAAATTATTTATAAAGTAGTATAATTTAAATATTTTTTGTCACACATGTCTCACAAGTATAACTCTTTATCATCAGGAACATAAATAAACAATTAATGTTTGTGGAGCCCGCAGGATAATGAAGGATCAGATTAAATTATATTACTCTAATAAGTAATTTTCAAATTGTATTATTTCAATAATTTATTTTAAAACTATATTATATCAATCAAATCAACCCACAATTGACGAATCCCCACACCACACCACACATTCCTTAGAACGCGAGTGGATAAGTTAAGACCTCATGTGTACACAAATCAAAACAGCAACTCAAAAAAAATTAAAAACAAACAAGCTTGCGTGGTCGTTGGATTGTCGTGTGTCGTTTTCTAAATTTCAAACACCGTGCAATGAATGCTCCTTCGCTCTCTGTCTCTACGCTCCTTCAAAACCTTACCTTTTTTTATTGAGAGAACCTACTATGTCCACCGTGGAGGCAAGGAGGCTTGCCGTTTTGTGCTCCCATCTCAACCCGACCCGGTTGCCTCCGGGTCCCCTCTATTCCCCGGTTTCGGGTTCGGTCTGTGCTTCTGCTTCTGATGCTGAAACGCGATTAGCTAATACCAAAAGGCACAATTTGGAAGAGGATTGCATTTTCTGCAAGATTATCCGTGGTGAATTACCTGCTTTGAAGGTATGCCTTCTTTTTTTTTTTTTCTTTTTTGAATTTTCTGTTATTTATTTAATGTTTTGAGATTAAAATGGTTCAAAAAGTTACCTTTTTCCTTGGACTAAATTAATTGCAATCAACGATAAAACTGTAATTTAAGGACCAATTTGATGTTTATCTAGGAGGGGTTATGGGTAATGTTTCAAATTTGGTTGATTGGAGTTTCATGTTGATGATGCATTTTGTTCGATAAATCAATCTGAGACAGATAGAGAGGATAATTGACACCTTGCCTCAAGAACTTGAAAATTTTACAGCTATTGTTTTGGACTTTGGAGGCTTATAGATTTTTCTTTAATCCATGTTTATGCGTACGAAAAGGACTTAGAGATGGAATTTCCTAGTATGAACCAAGGTTTTTGAATGGCAATATCTATCGTGCATCATTTGGCCAATTTGTTCAATTTGTTGTATCATGTATCGTGAATTGTATCGAATCGTAAGATACATAAATATAATAAAAAATAATTTAAAAATAAATAATAATTAATATCAAATTACAAAAAGGATCCAATAAGCAAAATACATAATTAATTAAAGTGTAAACCAGTTATTCTCCTACTCATTAATCATTAAGACTAATATTATCACTATCAGCATTTATCAGTGACATAATTAATCCATCATCCTCTTCCAAAAAGGATCCTTTTAGATTTTTTTAATTTAAATTGCAAATTTAATCTTTATTTCTTTTTTTATATTAAAAATTACAAATTTTGATTTAATTTTCGTATCGTATCATTCGATACAAACCCCTTTCTGATACACCCCACGATACATATTGCTGGACTTGTGAATCGCATCGTATGAATCGTAAGATACTGATAACTATGTTATGAACAAGTGAAATACTGATATTCAAGTAAAAGAGTTATGATTCATGAACACTAAACCTTCGACGAGGTTTTTCTATTGTTAGCTTTGATGGACCGACAAAAGGGAGCCTGGTTTCCATGTGACCTTGAGATCATAGGTTTGTGTTGTGGAATTAGCCTCTTGCAAATGTAAGGGCACCTACTATAGATTTGGACACTGGATAGTGAGCCAAACCCTTCCTTGCATTCTGTTGGGTTTCACAGTTGAGTAAGGGAAATTGTTGGAATATTCAAGTGTGATAAGTCTCACATTGGTTGGTAATAGGCTAAGTGAAGTGCATATAAATGGGAGAACTCATAAAACCCAATGCCTTAAGATTTTGGGTTGAGACATGATGTAAGACCTACTTGCTATGGTTGGTGTAGCTTAGCCCATTTGTGGTGTTTCCCTGCCACGGCTCCTACTGGACCCGTTTGACAGTGGTATCAAAGTCGAGTTGGGCTCGAGCTAGCCTGGTGATTGGCTAGGAGACGGGTTGAGTACTTGGGCCCTGGGGTATTCGGTTGAGCGGGAACATATCAATGTTGGGTTTCACATTTGAGGGGGAGATTGTTGAGATATTCCAGTGTGATGAGTCCCACATTGGTTGGTAATGACACCAATTATCGCTTTAAAAAATATAATAACAAGAATTCCCAATGTTGAGAATATCAGAACAGCAATTGAAATGAACAACACGAAACAATCACACTTATATTGAGTTTTAAGTGGGAATAATTCCCTTACAATACTGATAGAAAATAACAAGGATAATTCCCTTACAATCGGACCATTAGGACACTGTCCTTTACATTTAAAGAGACACACTTACTACCAATTACCCAGAAATACTAAACTCCTAAAATTCCCTTACAGACTCCATGGATTCACTACCCATGCTCATACGCTTGGGAAGATACCAGTCCCTTCCACATTGAACCCCAAGTTCAGGTGCAACCCTCTACTAACAACTCTCCATGATGCTTCCTTTCACCTCTAAGCGTCTCTTTATTCGTCACTCACCACAGCTCCCTTGCCCAGTTCACTTTCTCCATTCACAACGTTTCACGTGGCCTCCTTTGTAACTGGTTGTTGTTTGTTTTTTCCTTCATTCGTCTCACTCCTTCCTCCTTCATTTGGGCTCATCTTATCAGCTTGGACTATGTTGATTTCTCCCTCTTGTTGGGCCTTCCTGCGTTTGTAATATTTATTAAAAGGTTCCAGGGGCCATCAACACTCCCCCCCTGGAAGAATCACCTTGTCCTCAAGGTGGAAAAGAGGAAATTGTTGCTGGAACTCCTCCAAATCCTCCCATGTGCAATCACAGTTCGGAAGTGCCTCCCATTGCACCAACAACTCGATTTTTCCACTTATCAACTTCCTAGAATCAAGAATAGCCATAGGTTGGACCCTCATCTAAGCACCTTGGTAATGCCAATATTGGTACGACTGGCTGCACAACACGTTTAAGTTGAGAGACGTGGAATACGAGATGCACCTTTGAGTATGAAGGGAGCTCTAAGCGGTAAGCCACTGTTCCCATGCGTTCTATGACCTTGAAAGTCCCATAAAAACGGGGACTTAATTTCTGGTTGACCCTTTTAGCTAAAGAGCGCATCTTATAGGGCTGTATCTTCAAGAACACACTCTCTCCTACTTCAAACTGAACTTCCTACGTTTCTGGTCAGCTTGAAACTTCATTCGTTGCTGTGCTCGATTCAAATTCTGCCTGAGATCATCCATCACTGCATCACGGGCAGCCAACCATTGATCTAAAGCATCCACTTGAGTGCTCCCCTTTTCAAAACGAAACAATGAGGGAGGTTATTGGCCATACACAGCCTTGAATGGTGTTATGCCAATTGATCTATTATAAGATGTGTTGAACCAAATTCAGCCCACACGACTTAGCCCAGCCCCTAGGATGCCCATTAATAAAACATCGCAGATGTGTCTCAACTGTTCTATTAACCACTTCCGATTGCCTGTCCGTTTGTGGATGATGAGCGGAGCTGAAACGTAGTTTAGTACTTGAAAGTTTGAACAACTCTTTCCAAAATGTGCTCATGAACACCTAGTCTTTATCAGAAATAATGGATTTGGGGAAACCATGGAGACGGACAATCTCCTTTGCAAACAACTCCGCTACCTCTTGAGCATGATAAGGATGGTGCAGCGTCAAGAAATGCGTGTATTTGGTCAGCCTATCAACCACCACCATAATAGTATCAACCCCTTGAGATTTGGGCAAACCCCCAATAAAATCCATCGATACATCCTCCCATGCTTTTTCAGGTACTGGTAGTGGTTGTAATAGCCCAGCAGGCAACAACCCTTCATATTTTTGCTATTGGCAAACCCCACACTGCCTCACAAAATCAGCTACCCGTTTGCCCATTCCCTTCCAATAGAACACTGTAGCTATCCTTTTAAAAGTTCGTAGTTCCCCTGAATGTCCCCCCAAAGGAGAAGAGTGAAACTCAAATAAAATTGCCAGAATTTGTGCTGGGTTTTTAGGAATAACCAACCTATTTTTGAACCATAGACAACCTTTAATCACATGGTACCCTGGATGTGATTGAGCATCCTGCAGCACTTCTGTAATTATTTTTCTTATGGACTGGTCATGCAAGGCTTCTTCTGCTATTGCTTGCAAGTCTGGGCTGTTGACCAAAGTTAATTCTTTACACTCCATTACTCGGGACAAGGCGTCTGCAACTTTATTTTCCACCCCTGGTTTAAATTGTATCTCAAAATCAAACCCCATCAATTTAGCTATCCATTTCTGTTGCCCTTCAGCTATCAAGCGTTGTTCAGTCAAATATTTGAGGCTGCGTTGGTCTGTCCGGATGATGAAATGGCTTCCCAACAAATAGTGACGCCATTTGTGGACAGCAAACACTATTGCTTTCAACTCCCTTTCGTACACTAACAACTTCCTTGCTTGATCAGAAAATGCTTGACTCAAGAAGGATATAGGTCGCCCATTCTGCATAAAGACAGCCCCCATACCAACACCAGATGCATCAGTTTCAACCCCAAACGTCTCCTCAAAATTAGGTAGAGCCAGCGTGGGTAGTTTAACCATCTCAGCCTTCAACGTTTCAAAGGCTTTTTGTGCCTCTTCTCCCCATAGAAAACAATCTTTCCTCAACAAATATGTCAAAGGTTTGGCCATATGACCGTACTACCTGACAAACCTCCTATAATACCCTGTGAGACCCAAAAACCCCCATAACTCCTTTAAATTTCGAGGAACTGGCCAAAGTTGTACAGTTTGCAGCTTTTGAGGGTCTGTTTTGACACCCTCTTTAGATACTAAATGAGCCAAGTACTCCAACTCTTCCTTAGCGAAGCTACATTTTTTATAATTAGCGAAGAGCTGTTGCTGCCTCAAGACGTCCAGTACTACTCGGAGATGTTCTTCATGCCGCTTCTCATCTTGGCTATATACCAAGATATCATCAAAGAAGACCAAAATGAATTTACGCAAGTGGGGTTTAAAAATAGCATTCATTAAGGACTGGAAGGTTGAGGGAGCATTTTTAAGCCCAAACGGCATTACGAGATACTCGTAGTGCCCTTCATGCGTGCGAAAGACTGTCTTCTCTATATCTTCCACCTTCATCAGTATTTGATTATACCCCGATTTTAGATCCAATTTCGAAAAAATGCCAGCCTCATTCAACTCATCCAGAAGCTCGTCAATGATCGAAATTGGGAACTTATCAGCTACGATTACATTGTTTAAGGCGTGGTAATCCACACAAAACCGCCAACTTCCATCCTTCTTTTTGACCATTATTAAGGGGCAAGAATAGGGGCTGCTACTAGGTCGTATCATCCCTGCTGTTTGGCCCCTCATGGTGACCCCCGCCTCCGTCATTTGTTCCTCCTTGGTTTCCAGCTGCTGCAAGCTCCTGAAGCTTTCGCATCATCACTGACAGATTGGCTTCAATTCGATGGATTCCCTCCTCTGTTCCCGCAACTCTCGCCTCCAATGCCTCCATTCGATGAACCATGTTCCTTGTCAACACCATTCACAATTTTCCCAGGTAAAGTGCTTTGATACTAAATTAATGGCACCAATTATCCCTTTAAAAAATATAATAAAATATAATAACAAGAATTCCCAATGTTCAGAATATCAAAACAGCAATTGAAATGAACAACACGAAACAATCACTTATATTGAGTTTTAAGTGGGAATAATTCCCTTACAATTCTGATAGAAAATAACAAGGACAATTCCCTTGCAATCGGACCATTAGGACACTGTCCTTTACATTTAAAGAGACACACTTACTACCAATTACCCAGAAATACTAAACTCCTAAAAATCCCTTACAGACTCCATGGATTCACTACCCATGCTCATCCGCTTGGGAAGATACCAGTCCTTTCCACACTGAACCCCAAGTTCAGGTGCAGCCCTTTACTAACAACTCTCCATAATGCTTCCTTTCACCTCTAACTGTCTTTTTATTCGTCACTCACCACAGCTCCCTTGCCCATTTCACTTTCTCCATTCACAGCGTTCCACGTGGCCTCCTTTGTAACTGATTGTTGTTTGTTTTTTCCTTCATTCGTCTTACTGCTTCCTCCTTCATTTGGGCTTGTCTTATTAGCTTGGGCTACGTTGATTTCTCCCTTCTGTTGGGCCTTCCTGCGTTTGTAATATCTATTAAAAGGTTCCAGGGGCTCATCAGTTGGTAATGGGCTAAGTGAAGATATATAAGTGGAAGGACCCATGAATCCAATGCCTTAAGGTTTTGGGTTAAGACGTGGTGTTGGACTCACTTGCTACGGTTGGTGTAGCTTAGCCCATTAGTTGTGTCCCACGCCATGGGCTTCTCATTGGACCCACCTGACACATCCCATGTATAGTGGTAGCACAAGTTGCCCTTAGCTTTAATGCTTAGACATAAAAAACTGTTTGAAATTGTAAATCATGTTATTTGAAGATCTTTCGAACTTGTTAATATCTTCAATCATCGGACTTATCATAACTTTTGTTGCCATTACTCATTACTTTTAATTTATATACAATCCTACCAGGTTTTCTCATTACCTTGACCCTGATTTTCTTCATATTCTTTTTCTCAAACTAACAGCTGTACGAAGATGATTTTTGCCTATGCATATTGGATACAAATCCGCTGTGTCATGGGTAAGGTATCATATGTCCAAGGTGCAGTTATTTGTGAGGCATAGTTGTGTTCTGCGTTATTTCACACTTTATGCACGAATACATATGACCATGCATGGAGTAAATTAGAGCATGCATTTGCTGTTTCGCATATTATGAGTTGGGACTTGGGACATTGAATATCAATAGTATAATATCGATTTATTGATGCCTATGTTTTTTATTTTTTCCATCTGTTCCCTTCAAAACATGATATTCTTAACAGTTCAAGTTAATTTGGAGCAGAAGAGAAAGGAAAGTAATGCAAAATTTTGGTTTTAGGAGGGATTCTGAAATATCTATTTTGAATGACATGGTTACATGTTAGGAATGTCGGATAGTTTCATAGTTTGTCAATGGCATACATATTCTTTGATTTGGTAATCATTTATGCCTACACGTTTACAATCCAATTTCATTTACTTTTTCAACAATTCTGCATGGCATAGTTTGTTTATCCACTTTTCCCATCTACACTTTGTTTACTAGGCACTCTCTCGTTATCCCGAAATGTCATTTTCCTTCACTGGATGCTACTCCTCCGTCAGTAAGTAATTTTCAATTATGATGCTTGTTTTACTGACTTTACACTATAATTTTAAGTTGATAGTAAATCCTTTCTTCATAAGGAAAAATTCCTTTTATGAAGATTCCTGTGTAGATGATTCTGTTGTTGTCATAAATAAAAAAATTTAAATGAAAATAGGTTTATTTGTTGTTGCTTAATGCAAAGAAATAACATCCATACACGCTGTTCTCTGTACTTAATCATTAAAAGAACTTTAATTATTTAATCGTTACCCCAAATATAGTGAGTGCGAGAAGTGAGGTGGTTTTTCTTTTTAAATAATTGAGAACCTTGTGGTACTATGTAATCTGCATCAATGGGAGCTTCTTCATTTGTCTCTGATTTCTACTTTTAACCATAAGATCCTAGTCTCACTATGTGCGTCATTCTTTAAATTATGAGACACACAAATATGCCCTTCCGTTTGAGGATGATAAGCTCTACTGCATTTTAATGCAGTTTTAATATGTTTGAAAAGCTCCTTCCAAAAATTACTTGAGAAGATCCGGTCTCGGTCTGATACCATACTTGGTGGGTAGCCATGCAAGTTCCCCACCTCTTTGCTAAAGATATGGGCTACATCAGCTGCTGTATATGGATGAGTCAAGGCCATAAAATGATTGTACTTGGTCAACTTGTCAACTATTACCATAATAGTATCCCCTTTTGCAGTCTTTGGGAGACCTCCTATGAAGTCCGTAGAAATGTCTTCTCAAACTTGCTTTGGAATAGGCAGGGGTAGGATAAGACCAGCTGGTCTCATTGCTTGGTATTTGCTCCTTTGGCAGTCAATACATCCAGCTACAAACTCCTTAATACTGTTCTTCATTCCATCCCAAAAATAAGACCGCTGCAATTCTTTTATAGGTTTTGAAAAAACCGGAGTGCCCCCAAATGGAGTAGCATGAAACTATAAGATGATAATTGGAATAGATAGGGAGTGGGTGCAATTACCGTCCTCCCCTTGTAAAACAAATTCCTCTGCCTCAGTTGATAGCGTTCATGGGAGGCTGAATCCTTTAAAAAGTCCTGTATAATGGCCTTGTATTTTGGTTCAGCTAATAGCTCATTGTCCAGGTCCTCTCCATTATTCGAAAGAACTGCAGAATTTGCCGAACATAGAGGTGGCAAAACGGGTCGGCCCACCCCGCCCCGCCCCTTGAATGTGGGTTTAAAAGTCCAACCCATCCCGTTTTATGGTTGATTGGCGGGTCAACCCGCCTAAAATATAAAATATAAAAAATAATTAAAAATTAAAAATAGATTATATTTTATAAATTTTATAATATTACTTATTTTCATTTCACACTCCCCTTAGTTTTTTTCCAATCTCAAGCCTAAATGTATGCTAATATGCAGTCAGACATTCTTTAAGAACTTATTTTTGCCTCCGTATATGGATAACTATTGTTATAAATAAAGTTTTTCTTCTTTAAAAAGACCCGGCGGGCCGACTTGCCACCAACCAATTTTGACTCACAATTAGGCGGTGCGGGTTGAAGTGGGTTGGTGGGTTGAGATGTGTAAACCAACCCGCCCCGTTTTGGCAGGTTGACCTGTCAGGTTCAACCCAGATTGCCACCTCTGCCTGAACATAAGCTTATGCTTGCTGGTTTTTTAGATAATGCATCTGCAACTCTATTGGCTCCCCCTGGTTTATAGATGATTTCAAAGTCATATCCAAGTAGTTTCATAACCCACTTCTGCTGTTTTGCATTAACGTTGCGTTGTTCCAACAAATGCTTCGAACTTTTCTGATCGGTTTTGTCTTCAAAATGCATTCCAAGCAAATAATGCCTCCACTTTTGAACTGCCATTACTATTGCCATCAATCTTGAGATCTTGGGGATAATGTTTGAATCCAATAAGAGATTGGCCTCCCTTTTTGCAGGAGAACAACTCCCAATCCTTTCCCTAAAGCATATGTCTCTAAAACAAACTCTATAGAAATATTAGGCACAGTCAATGCGGAGGCACTTACCATAGTTTCCTTGAGATTGTGGAAAGCTTTGGTGGCATCATCATTCCAATGAAAAACGTCTTTCTTTAGCAATTGAGTTAATTGGGTTGCAAGCTTCCCATAGCCTTTGACAAATCTTCAGTAATAACTTGTGATTCCCATGTAATTCCTTGAGGTCTTCGGGTAGTGGCCAATCCACCACGTGTTTGACCTTGGTAGGGTCCACTGTTACCCCTTTGATTTTGTGAAGAGGGTGTCAAATTGATGAATCAATTATGCGAATTCAAACTCACCATGGCTGGTTGTTCCTCCTCTTGCTCCATTTGTACGAACTCCAACCAACACTTGTCCCACCAGATTGAACCGATTGCCACAGCCCCTTGAAAGTCTTCCCAACCTTATCAGAGGTGGGTCACCCCACATGGTTGCTATTGTCCCATCCCACCCAAATTTCATGGTTCGGGTTTTCCAATTGTTGCAAACTTCCCCAGAGTGGAGAGCCATTCTTTTCTTAATATAACATATGCCTTCACCTACGACCTTTTGTCCATCGCCTAATGTCATATTGAATTGTTTTGGGCTGACAAGTAAACTCAGCTCTGGGACTATCTTCTGATCAACGAAATTGTGTGCTGCTACGCAATCGATCAAGACGACCACCTCATGGTCTGAGCTAAGACCAGCTATGACATTATACAACAACTCAATTGACTTATGCTCCATGGCTTCTGTCTCGTGCTCCCCACCAGAGTCTCCGTCAGAATTGTCTCCTTCCATTGCTAAGGGCACCTTGAGTTGTCATAATTCGCAACGATGTTGTGACGTAAACTTTTCATTGCACTGGAAACACAACCCTGTTCCTTCTTCTCATACAACTCCGCCAGCGTCAATCGCCTAAAGCTGTTGGCACGACCATTTCCCTTCCAGGATCGTCATTGAACACTTTCCCTGTCCTTTTTTCATTTGTATTTCCAGAATGAATGATGCCATTGTTTTGTATTGTGGGTAGGTTAGTAATTATCGGGTCTGATTTTCGCCTAACAACTGTACCCGTAGCAGTCACACGTGAGTTTTCTTGGGCTTGTGGTCGACCTTGTAAGGCCTAATTTATAGCCTCAATGCATTAGGCCAGCCTCATTGTAGCTTCTAGCTCATTGGGTCAAATAGACAGATCTAACTCGTATCTCTTGCTTCAGCCCAACCATGATTGCCCCTTTCAACCATGCGTTCGTTAACCCCTCTGCGACTGCCACCAGTGACTCAAATTGTTGCCGAAACTCAGTCACGCTTCCCGTTTGCTTCAACATCATCAATTCTTCCTTGGGTGATTTGAATTGTGCTAGACCAAATCGTTTCAATAGCTCTGTCTTCACCTCTGCCCAATTGATGAAAGCTTTCCGATGCTCATGATATTCATACCAACTCAGAGCTGCTCCTTGTAACACCCCGTCTCGAGCCGGTATGTTAACTTACATTATGGTAATAAAAGCGCTACATATTTAATTAAATAAACAAAAGACTTAATAAAAGCATCACTATAGCTTACCATCGACTACGTGACTTAACTTTTCTTCTTATTTTTCTTCTTATTTCTATTACATACAGTCCCATAACTATAGAATCTTTATTTGACTCATACAACCATAATAATTGTCAAGTGTCTACCCGAATATAATAACAATTATTATTTCTGACAAAAACCACGGATAACATAATGGCTATATATTGGACATTTCTAGGGATCAGACTCCCATAATATTTTTACACCTGATAGACAACAACTCAATACATCGTAATTTATAAACTGAAATCAACTGATGGCTCTGTTCCATTCCATTATGCTACACACTAAATTGAACAGACATATATGCATCACGACCTCAACTATACAAATACATACATAGGCCTTTCAAAAGATGTTTACACTAAAACATATTTACAGATAGTTCCAAAACAAACATCTATCAGTCTTTCTGCTACAGTACTTTGCTCTAATCTCCATGTGTTGGCTTCTTGCCCTTTTAAAGCTCTCTTGCTACTGTTGTACTTGTAATTTAAATTACAGCCCCACAACGGGGTGAGAATTGAATCCCAATGAGCTCTGGGTTTATGGAGCAGTTTCCACCCATGAGCTCACTTCCCACATGACATATTAAACACAGAACTTAGATAATATCATACAGATACAAATTCTATATTCACATGCAATCACTTATTTTTTATTTATATACAGTAATAGAATTCATATCCACATGCAGTTATCAAATCCAGAATTACATGCAGTCACGCATTTCATTATTTTACACAGTTACACAGTCTTGCTCATTTATAACCTTTTACTTTTTATCTGATAGTTTAGAGTCTCTTTAATTATTCACCAGATCATTTCATTGTATTTCAGAAACTCCTATCAAAATTATTAGCAATACCAAATATCCATAATAATCATAATAATTAGAAATTCACAATAATCTTGATCGCCAGAATTAACACCAATATACAAACATCTCTGCTTTACAGAGTAGCCGAAACCACCTGATGACCGGATGTGTCCACGGTAACAACTAATCAAGATAATTCCACCAGAGTCACCCATTATTCGGATGCACTCAACTTGTACGACCATTATTTATTGGCCTCATACTAGAATTACACGTATATTAGATATACACATCTGTCACCTTTACTCAGACATCATCTTTTATAATCAATGTACTAAATATACACACCATTTATTAATCTTATATCAGATTAATCACATCACAACATTTCATATGCTGACACCAATTTTAATATAGTATATTAAAATACGTACATCACAGCTTTCCAGCACAACACATCAAATATTCCAACCAATCAAACAACAACAAAATGTACATGTATTTAAATTCAACAAATGATTCACAGCACATCAAATCACAACACATTTAATCATAGCACCGCCATTCACAATACATTTAATCACAACACATCAATTATATAACAATCAATACATTAGAATTTAAATAGTTACATTACGACAATCAGTAAATTTACACTCAACAGATAAATCATGGCATATAAAATATAGAGTAAATACATTTTTTGGTCCTCAAAAAATTTTACGATACCCGCTTTAGTCCCTTGCAAATAAAAAGGCTATTCGTGGTCCCTAAGAAATTCAAAATGGACCCATTTTAGTCCTTTTGAGGGACTAATGTGGGTCTTTTTTGAATTTGTGAGGGACCACGATTTCAACTAAATGGGTCCATTTTGAATTTTTTAGGGATCACGAATAGCTTTTTTATTTGCTAGGGACTAAAGCAGGCATCGTAAAATTTGCTCAGGACCAAAAATGGTATTTACTCTAAAATATATACATAATTGTCCTATACGAATGCAACTATGCTAAGTTCTAACTGATCATGGTGGAACAACATGGTAGAAGAAAACTCCTAAACCAAAAGCTTACCTGTCAAGCTTTCCTTGTTATTACTTGTAGCTCAAGACACCAGTCTATTTGATTATCTATAGGTTGTACTTTCCATTTACACCGTCTGGTTTATACTCTGGTTTCATATATAAAAATACCAGTTAATACATATTACTTGTAATCCAAGTAACTAACATCATAAGTTAATTTTATAATTAACTTGATAATTCTATTTATCTTGACAATTCATACCATATCACCAGTTTTTACACTTAATTCACCATTTAATAATTAGGTCCCAACACAAGTTAGTTTAAACCACTAACTCAAATGAACATTTCATACTTTAATAAATTGCCTAGGTCATATGACCTACTTATGGCCAAATACATATACAAATAAGGTTCATGAACTAACTACGTATAGTTAACCTTCATTACCAGGTCATGAAATATTTCACCAAAAATATTACCGTCTTAATCTAGACGTCTTAAGATTTCCAACGGCATATTATACGCCTCATTCTGACAAGTACAAGTCAAGATATTTCCGCCGTAAGCAAATTGCTTAAACCCGTCATCGGAAAGGCAGGACAACGGACACTTTAATTTTCTGGGAATGTTTCCCTACCCAGTTTATTCTCAAATTTTTATATCAAATACTAGACATCGGGGGCTTTAATTTGACATAAGATTCGTCTCGTTTCGTTAAGTAACGAAGGAGTTATGAATTTTACAAACTCCTTACATTAAGCTGTCAAACATGACAGTTTCGGGCACTGTTTACTCTTTTTAATTCTGGGGATGATCTAACACTCATAAAAATCTCATCTTTTGGAATAAGAAACTAGACACCTTAAGCTTTAATTTGATACCTCACACGCTCCATTTCGTTAAAAAATGAGTTAGATATGCCTTTTCCAATTTCGGCTCAAAAGTAAGCAGAATTTTTATAGCAACTTAAGGCTTTTATTTCTAAACACTTTTATAGATAAACCAATTTCCATCCATTCAAACCCTTTTGTTTATTAATTAAACATACCTCAATCACCCTTTAAACATATTCTTATGATCCAAACATTAATCTTCATGATTTATGGAGTGTATGGCCAAATGGCCTTTAATTAAGGTTCATAAATTTACCTTTTAACTTTCACTCATTTTCTATTGAACCAACCATCATTAATTGGCTTAAAAACCCTAGTTTCACTTTTGACTTTTATCATACACATGATCTGCATACTTTACTCTTTCGGCCTAATCGGCCTCTTTGTATAGACATCACCTTTTTGTTTATTTTAATTTTAAACATGCATAGTTTAGCTTAAAATCAATAAACCACCACCAAAGAATATTAAACCACTTAAAACAACATCATAGGTTCATGATTTAATCAAACCCTAATCAGCCATGAACAACTTCAAACAACAATTTTTAACCATCAATCTGGTTCAACTGGAAATATCTTTCCGGTAGGTTATTCACCCTCCCGGATCTTCACCGGAAAACACTGGTAATTCCATTTTATCAGCTTGAATTTCTCTGGTGGACCATCTCCATCCTTGCAGCTAGATTCTCCTTTGTTTCTGTTCTTCGATCCTGCTCTCACTTCTCCTCCTTGATTCACTGTTTTCTCTAGAGTTTCTATGTTAATCACTATTGGCGACTCCAACGTGACCTTCTCAGGTGCCTTCCCTTTCATGAACTGCCAAATTTCCACCATGTATCCTCTGATAGCTTCAAATTTTTTCTGATCATCTTTATCTTTCCCATCGAGACGTTGCTCCATTCTCCCAAATTTTTCATTTATCTCTTTCACTCCTTTTTCCACCGCATCTAATCTGTCCTCCATTCTTGTTGATACCATACCCACTGCCCTTTGGATTGAAAGCTCCAATGCCAAATTGATAGACACCAGTAACAGAATAACAGCAAAGCAGGAAAATGTGGTTGTATTGATATGAAGAAAAACAAAAGTACAATACTGACATTCGAGAGGTTAGTGTTCTCCCTCTCACAGCGCTAAGCTATGCCCAAATTTACCTCACTCAAAACTGCCTATTCTGATCCTTCCCACTCCCTAAATAACTAACTCTCTCTAACAGACTCCATTCTCTCATTCCCACCCCATTTTTATCCACATCAACCATGTGCTGGTTGAGAATGATTCCCTGCTTTGCACCTTTTCTTCCTGTGTACACCCTTGTAACTATGGGTCCTCCATCATATTTCTCTTTTATTTCATTCTTGCAATTCATCAAGCTTGAAAACACTGCTAAATTTGTTGCTCAAGTGCAAGAGTAAAATGGTGTACCTGTGTGTTTAATCGATTTAAATATTTTTTGTTAATGTCAAACAATGGTCTTGTTTATTTTCCTAGCCTAATTGGCTTATGGTACAGGTGGTAGCCGCAATGTGTTCAAAAGTGCCCTTTATTAGCACTGCAATCATGAAGGCTACTGGCTGCAGTATGTACTTAAATACTCGAACTTTTATCTGCTCTTTGCTAGGTTTTCTTCTTTTATATGGCTTAGACTTTAATATTTCAATAGAAAACACTCATTTGAGGCAAACTCTGCTGGTAGATATCTGATCGATACCTCGCTATGCCTTTTCTGGCAACAATGAGGAAAAGTCTTTAACTTCTGTGCATAACTAGATTCTTGTTTGATAATGTTGTTTCTATGGATCTTTCTAGTTTAACCATTTCTAATGCAGGATATGAAACTTCTGAATTGTTGCTGGTTTGGAGAAAATTATAATTACCCTACATATTGTTATTTTCATATCAGCCCTGTCGATCTTGATACTTCTGTATGACATTATATCTCACACCATGGAGTCTCATAGGATGTTTGTAATTCTGCAGATTCTTTCAATCTGTTGGTTAACAACGGAGCAGCTGCTGGCCAAGTAATATTTCATGTAAGATTTTAGATCTTCTATATTGTAACTTGTACTTTTATGGAATCACACATTTACTTTGCTCTCTATATTCTACAAATGGCTTATTGTGCTATAAAATGTGTGCATTTCAGACTCATATCCACATAATTCCCCGTAAAGCATATGATTGTTTATGGGCTTCTGAGGTAATATTTCATTTCCTTTTCAAAGTTTGATGTGATATCCATCATATAATTATGTACTGGGAGTACTAATCAGTAATAAAGTTCCTTGTTTATAGAGTTTGCTAAGGCGCCCCCTTAATTTAGATGATGAGAAAGTATCTCAGCTTGCAGCTCGTATTCAGGAACAGTTGTTGCTATCAGATATTTGTCAGGATAGCAAGAATGAAGATTTTTGTTCGAGTAAAAGTTAGTTGTGTTGTTGATGTATTGTAACTTATATTTCATATTTTCATTTAGAGGAATGGAACATGCGCAGAAAAATAGTTTAATATAACCCTCATATTCAATAATTGAGTGATTGTTTTTTTTTTTTTTTTTTTTCCTTTTCTTTCTAAAGCCATTGCTTTAAACCCAACCCAAAATATCTCAGCTACTATTTTTTTCTTTTTTCTTTTTCCGATATCACTAATTTATTGAATGCAAGGGTTATGTCAAGTATTTTTATAGGCATGTATCATTTCTCTCTCATGTATGTGCCCATGTGTACAGTCAATTTTTTTTATTTATTGGTTAAATTTTTGAAAAGGGATTTACCAGGAAAAGTAAGAGATCTCTATGTTATTTATTATATGTTAATATTCTTGAGTTCAAAATTGTGATATCAGAATCCCCAAATTTGTGCTTTCCTTTACACTGACAATTATTAATCAATTTCGCCCAGTTAATGAACCACCTTTTTAATGTGTTTCCTCTACTCAAATTTACTTTGTAAGGAATGAATGTGACATGTAAGATTTGTTAGAAGAAAAGTTAAGTGATTCATTCAATTGCTAATATGCAACTGAACCACTTCACTCATTACATGGAAGCATTTAAAAGTAAAGTGTAAAGACATCGTTGCTCAATTTTACATATTTTTAACATCCCTGAAATTGGTAATAGGGGGCAGATTTAACGATTTCTAGCAATTTATTCTCCCTCGTACGTGACTCATAATCAACACATCTACACATTCTCCCACTACTTATGAGGAACCATGAGGTAATAGTTACATAAATCTGTTCTATTTTTTTTTTTTTATAAAAAAAATAAATATTCATTAATTGAGTAAAGAGAGGAAACAAAGATCTATGAGTGCAAAGTAAGGGGTGACTATCCCATATCACTTCTAGAGGCTAGGAAGGAAATAAAGAAGAAACAAGTTTTAGAAATACCACAACTCTCTTAAAACTTTCAACAATAAAACTAACAGAGTATAAAAATGAAAGATTTTTTTTTCTTTGGATTTATCTCCCTGGTAATCCCATAGGTTTTCTACGGATTAATTCGAAGTTCGAGGTGAGTTCATGATTAAAGCTTTAAACTCTTCTTAAAGATGATATTGCGACTGATCAAACACATGCTCTTACCCCCATCTGCTCAACTCTCTTGCGCCAACTAAACTATCATCATTTAGTCAAAAACGAAAGATTTAGTTACAATAATTTCCCCCCCTGAACTTGAGTGTCTTGATCTTGTTCAAAATGGGGTTTTTTAATGTGTCAAAGCCTTGCTTTTTTGTTGCACTTCCACGATCTATAGTTTCAGCTCAATAGATTTGAAGACCTTGTTATTACATTTGACAAAAGTATGCAGTTAAAATGAGAAAACTAAAGCTAGAGATTTCAATGAGGGCAGCCCATGGTAGGGGGAGAACTATGATTAATGGTTTAAGTAGCAGTTCACAATATTCAAGAGTATATCTTAATCCAAAATCTTAAAACATTAAGTTTATGGGTCCTTTTTAATTATATGTTTCATGTTTAACCCCATTCATTTTCAATGTGGAACTTTATCATTCACACTTAAATTCAGGGCCAAATAAAGCACATTTTTCTTATTCCTTGAAATCAATAGTTCACAATGCCGTTTTGGGGGATATGATTCAACTTTAATGATGTATCTTCGTTAACTAACTAATGAGAATTTAACTCTTGAAAACGTTTGATATGAAAAAGGAAAAACTAGTGACTATACTTGAGAGTCTTTCAACAAAACCATGAGGTATTTTTTGCTATACCAAATTGTTGAATTTTTCTTCCTAAATTATATGTCAGCAGCATCTTCATGTTTCAACATATTAGGCGCAAAAGCTTTTTTTTTTTTTTTAATGCTCACATGCCAATACTATTCATTTGGAGGCAATGATACTAAGCAATTGCGGAAAGCACACGCGGAAGGAAAAAGGGCAACAACATTGCTTGCCTATAAATACCAAGCATCTCTCAGTGGTTCATCAGTATCCTAATTTCATCGGATAGCAATTAGAGAGTGTTCCTCTTATGAGAGAGAGTTCCATCATATAGGTGAGAAAAATTCTCCAAGTGAGACATAGTGTTGTTGTAAACCATCCTTAGTGGTGAGATGTTTGTGTGTAAAACTCTAGTCTTGTACTAGAGAGATCATCATTGTAATCCTACTTTCATAGTGGAAGTTTTCTTGGACTTAGTGGTCCCGTGATTTTTACTCCTCACATTGAAGAGGTTTTCCACGTTAAAATTGCTTTGTGTTCTCTGTGTTATTTTCTTTCTACTTCTTTCAATTTCCATCTTACAGATTTACTTCGCTTCCACAAATAGAAGTTGTTACTAATCCAACAGTGGTATCAGAGCTCTTAGATCAAGGGCTCTGTGAAGTCAGAGATGGAAGATGCCTTAACACATGATGGTGATATGTTCAAACTCACTACAGAGAACTACTCATACTGCAAACCTATGATGGAAGACCATCTTTATTGCAAAGATTTATATGAACCCTTTCTGCGTGCAGACAAGCCAGAAGGGAAGAATGATAAATAGTGAGATCTCCTCAACTGGAAGGCGGTCGCTATGATCCGCAAGTATAGGGACAAGAGCTTGTTCAAGCACGTGTCAACCTACACAAACGCTCATGAGCTGTGGACATAGTTGGAATCTCTGATTCAGAAGAATAAGACGCGCAACAAAGCAGCCCTGGTGCGTTGACGTGTGAAGTTGGTCTACAGGGATAGACAAAGCATGATCGAGCACTTGAAAAAATACAAAGGGCTCATAAATCAATTAATAAAGATTGACATGAAGATTGATGACGAGTTGCAAGCGCTTTTGCTACTCAGCTCGTGCCAGAGAGCTGGGATACTTTGGTGGTGACGCTCAGCAACTCAGTCTCAGAAGGAAAGCTGACCAAGGACTCAGATGCAGACATCCTGTTGAATGAAGAGGCCAGAAGGAAAGAACGAGGGACGACTAGACAGCACGAGGCCAATGTCTTCGAGAATCGTGGGAGGATGGAACATCAAGGAAAGAGTAAAAGCCGAGGTCGAAATAAGTCTCGAGGACGGTCAAAGCCGAGATCCGACTTGACATGCTACTATTGTGGGAAGACATGTCACAGGAAGTTCGAATGTCGAACGCTCAAAAGAGATCAGAAGAATGGCACTGTGAAGTCGGACCAGATAGATCCAAAGAAAAAAGAAGAATAGAGTACCACAGCCTTAACAGTCAAACCCGAGGCTGATGTCTTCCTAATCAGTGAGGATAGTTATCTTAATGTAGCATATGATGACTGTTCATGGATTGTAGATTTAGGAGCATCTTTCCATGTCACACTCCACAAGGAGCTTTTCTCATCATATCAAGGCAGCGACTTTGGTATCATGAAGATAGGTACCGGATTACCAGCAAGATAGTGGGAGTTAGGGAAGTCACGATGATGACTGGCATGGGATGTAGACTGGTTCTGAAGAGGTCAGACATGTTCCTGATATGCGGCTCAACCTCATCTCGGCATGTAAGCTTAGTGAAGCTGGGCCAATAAACTACTTTGGTGGAGGAAGATGAAAAGTCACCAAAGGTAGCTTGGTGGTAGCTCGAGGTAAGAAAGAAGGATTTCTCTATGTCATGCAAGGGAAGATCGGCAATAAAGAGATCAATACTATTCAGGATGAATCGAGTTTGGAGCTCTGGCACAAGAGACTCGGACACATGAGTGAGAAGGTTCTACAAATTCTCACCAAGAAGGAACTGTTGCTGAACTTGAAAGGTCAACTTCTGAAAACATGCAGACACTGCTTAGCTAGAGAGCAATGTTGAGTTTCATTCAGAAGACCGGACCAGCCTAGAAGAAGAAGATATGTTCTTGATCTTGTCCATACTAACGTATGTACTACGTCAGAGAAATCTCTAGGTGATGCATATTATTTCGTCACATTCATTGATGACCACTTCAGAAGAGTGTGGGTGTCCTTGCTAAATACAAAAGACCAAGTACTCCAAGGATTCAAGGAGTTCCATGCAAGGGTTGAAAGGGAGACCGACATGAAGCTAAAGGTCGTTTGAGTTGACAACGGTGGAGAATACCGAGGTCCATTCGAGATGTACTGTAGGGCGGCAGGTATAAAGCTGGAAAAGACACCTCCAAAGACACCTCAGTTGAATGGTGTAGCCAAAAGGATAAACCGGACCATTGAAGAGCGAGTGCGAAGTATGCTGTCACATGCTAAGCTTCCTAAGGTATTCTGGGGAAAAGCTGTCAAAACTGCACTCGACTTGATAAATTTGTCACCTTCAAGTCCTTTGGAAGGAGAAATCCCATAAGAAGTTTGGATGGATAGAAAGGCAAGGTACGAGCATCTTAAGGTATTTAGATGTCGGTCATTTGTGCACATTCTGAAGGATGAACGAGAAAAGCTGGATGCAAAGACCAAGAGTGTGTTTATCTCGACTCACCAAAAGACGAGTTCAGTTATCGTCTTTGGGACCCCATCAACAAGAAGGTTGTGAGAAGCCGAGATGTAGTCTTCTTAGAGGATCAGACAATTGAGGACATACAAAGGCCCAACGTTCGAGCTGTAGTTCATCAAGAAGATCTCGTCTCCCCTATTTGAACTGAAGCATGGGGATAACCCAATCCTCATAACACTAAGGAAGGCAGACAACAAGAAGAGCCACCAGTTAAAGGTGAAACAGAATCAGAACAACCGGAAGTCTGAGATGAAATAGAAGAACCGGGTTTCGAGGTGCAACCACAAACTCAACAATATGTCCGAGTTAGACGCCCTTCCACCAGATACCCTGTAGACGATTACACAGTTGTTGTAGAAGAAGGAAAGCCTCAGAGTTATGAAGAGGCACTGACCACTGCTGAAAAGGAAGAGTAAGAGAAATCCACGCAAGACGAGATGAAAGAATCACACCTCTGATCTGGTTGAGTTACCAAATGGCAGACGAGCTTTGAAGAACAAATAGGTATACAAACTCAAGGTGGAGGAGAATAACCCAAAACTGAGATATAAAGCTTGAATTATGGTGAAAGGGTACAATCAGAAGAAAGACATAGACATTGAAGAGATATTCTCACCAGTGGTGAAGATGACGTCGATCCGAACTGTTCTAGCAATAACAGCCACTCAAGACTTGGAGGTCGAACAACTTGATGTGAAGACAAATTTTCTTCATGGAGACTTGGAAGAAGAAATATTCATAGAGTAGCCAGAAGGTTTTGAAGTTCCAGGTAAAGAACATCTGGCATGCCGACTTAAGAAGAGTTTTTACGGCCTAAAGCAAGCATCCCGAC